TGTATGAAAAAAAAAACTTGGTCGTTTATAAGCTACTGAAAAATTTGACTTAACTTGCTATACATCCGGGTGCTTGTTGAAATGCCAGCTTATTTTACWTTGCTAACACGTGTTTTAGTAGAATCATATTTTTGACGACATTATTTCAGCTGATAAACATTTCAAGAATTTATATTTTGGCAGACAAATATTTTAGCTGATTAAATTTAACCTGACAACTAAAATACAGTTAGGACAGAATATTTGTTGACTAAAATATAGTTTGATCAGATTTGAGTAAAATACTTTTTAAAAGTATTTCAAATACATATTCCGAATACTTTGTAATAATAATAATCCCAAGTATTTGGAATACTTTTTTTCAGTAGATTTAGATTTCAATAGCAAAAATATTAATTTTCAACTTTATACTTTTAAACCGTTTATTTTAACAACATATTTATTATTTTATAAACTAGAAAATAAATAATAATCAACATTATAGTAGTATAGTAACAGAACTACCAATACACCAAAAAAAAAAAATACATGTACATATAATTTCTACTATTAATAATGTAATCTACATCCAATTTCAACAATTTGTAAACAAATAAAAAGTTACAATAATTTCAACCATGAATCTCATATTCATTATTTTGGGTACCTCGAATAATATATCAATTTAATGTAGATTAGTAAGTAGATAAATTAGCACCTGATATGRATACGGTTATCACTAYATTATTTTATGACTGTTATAAAATTTACTGCGCATGACTATTAATGAACTTCCATAACCTATTTCAACCCATTCGAGCCTTTTTTCACCTTTTAATTTTTATCCATTATATACATAGTTATTGTATACCCTTACGGCTAAATCACGGTGACGGAATGATAATGGTTGTAAATTAAGAATATCTAACTAATGTGTTTATCATATCATTATATCAAATATGAACAATACAAATATTTAGTTTTCTTAAACTCGTTTCGTATACTGCWAACAACGCAWGCAGAACGCAAGAAAAGCATGTTTTCTCGTAGATATAAATTAGAATTTAAGCCATACAAAATTTGTTTGTCACATTTAATGTTACCGGCATCTTTAATCGAAAAAAAATTATGTTTAAATTTRATTWAAAATAAAAAAAAAATAAAAATAAATCGATATTGTACAACCTTACAAAATTCGATACTTGAACTCCTATTTTATAATAGCGATCAGAAAAATTTAATTGAAAATCCAAAAATTTAATTTCTATTTCAAACTCTTGTCTTCTTAACACCTATCAACTAGGTACCTTAACTGACAAATTGAGTGTTGTTTATGAGACGCGCTTTGACAATGGAAAGCAAAAAAATTGGATAGTTATATCTTAATAATTTTATGTAATGTTTAACTTAAATAACGTGTACTTATCTCAAACTAATTTATAGATTCGATCAACAATTCAACATGTCTGAACAATCACCATCAGTAATACCCAACAACACGACGCTAGAATTGATAAAGAAGTTCGAGAGGATCAGAGAAATCCTACGGTTCACAGGAGCAGACGGCATTGTAGCAGCCAAGTTGAGAATTATTCCAGCTTCCGAGCTTCGGAAAGACCCTGTTATGTATGCGATGTACAATCGTGGTATGAACGACTATGCAGAAGGTATAAACCTGGTCTATGGCCCTGTAAACGTAAGATCAGTAAGAATCCTATTCCCCGCCGAAAGAGCTCGACCAGTTATGGTAATAGAACAAACCACAAAATTCAGCCGATCAAAACTATCCGAAAATGACTCCCAGGAGCTTCGTGATCTTATAGCGAGGAGTAATGTCCTCTTGGAGACGGAAGGTAGTTTGGCTTTGGATCGAATTGCTTTTGTAATGAGTTTGTATCCATTTTCCAAAATACGAAAGGACCCGATATTGTTTGCGGCCTATATACGTGGTTGGGAGGATCGGAAAACACTAATACGCAACAATCTTGAAGATGATTACATTCTCTAGCCACATTCACCATGTCTAGCAGACAGTGACACGTCAAACAGATATATAGTATATACCACTTGGCCGTGTCAAACTAAGTAGTTTTTTTAAATGTCTTAATGATCATAATAATATAATACTACTGCAATTTTGTAAACATATATTATTATGTATTTTATTTAAACATTCTTATAATAAAAAATACTYGAACTTCAATAAATTTATTTATTTTTTAACATTTATGGTTTACATTATAATTTAACGTACCAACTACGACTTAAAATTAAATATTTAGAGTTTAAAATTAAAGTCACGTGCA